CACAATCAATTTAACTATTCAGACGACTGGTTTCGCTTTCTACGATATGCAAATCATCTTCAGGTCTCGATACAAAGTTAAATAAATGCTGAAATAATAAAAACCCATATTAGGGTGTTGTCTAATAAAGATAAACAAATTAGATGTTATAAATTACAATAATTATGCCAATATTACATGTCTGTGGTTTTTCAAAATGAATAAAAATGAATAAAAAGGTATAAAAAGTTTTAACAGACAAGGTAAGACCCACAAATTGTTATAAAATAGATTGTAATAAATTAATAAATGAGCAAATAAATAAACATTACTTACATGCCGGTACTCTATTAATTGATGGATGGTAGAACATGGTTGAAACTATCATGTATTGTTGAATGTAGAACTTAAGTCTGCTATTGTAGTTGTTTGACAGTAAACGGGAAGTTCTTGAGGAGATAGATTTGATCCAATGAAGTAGAGATAGGTGTAATGTGATTGTTTGTTAGATGAAAGTGATGTTATATACCATTGTATTATTTAAAAGTTATTTATACTTATTCAAGAGATATATTTATGAAATGTGTGTTATTTATTGAGTATTTGTTTTATGAAGGTGACAGTTTTATGACAATGAATAAGCTTAGATGTACAAATTGTGTGGGTGTGCAATTCTTTCAACTTGTAATTATCAAATTTCTTTGATAAAGTTCTATTGGCAAAATGGTAGATTATTGCAAAGTCGAGTATATAAAATAATAAAGTTAAAACTATTAAGGACAATTTAAACACACTAAAACAGAAAACACTTAGAAGGAACGAAACAAACATTAAATTTAAAAAGGGGGAAGGACTTTTATGCACTACATCTCAGTCTTGGACACAATGAGTTTTTATGTTATCTATTAGATTTTAGTGGTAAATTTGACAGATGTAGGTAGGTAGGTAGGTGTAGGTTATTAGAAGAAGAACTGTCACATGTTAACCTACATCTGTCAAATTTACCACTAAAATCTAATACATAACATAAAAACTCATTGTGTCCAAGACTGAGATGACATGTAGTGCATAAAAGTCCTTCCCCTTTTTAAATTTAATGTTTGTTTCGTCCCTTCTAAGTGTTTTCTGTTTTAGTGTATTTAAATTGTCCTTAGTGGTTTTAACTTTAATATTTTATATACTCGACTTTGCAATAATCTACCATTTTGCCAATAGAACTTTATCAAAGAAATTTGATAATTACAAGTTGAAAGAATTGCACACCCACACAATTTGAACATCTAAGCTTATTCATTGTCATAAAATTGTCACCTTCATAAAACACATACTCAATAAATAACACACATTTCATAAATATATCTCTTGAATAAGTATAAATAACTTTTAAATAATACAATGGTATATAACATCACTTTCATCTAACAAACAATCACATTACACCTATCTCTACTTCATTGGATCAAATCTATCTCCTTAAGAACTTCCCGTTTACTGTCAAACAACTACAATAGCAGACTTAAGTTCTACATTCAACAATACATGATAGTTTCAACCATGTTCTACCATCCATGAATTAATAGAGTACCGGCATGTAAGTAATGTTTATTTATTTGCTCATTTATTAATTTAGTACAATCTAATAGACTATTTTATAACAGTTTGTGGGTCTTACCTTGTCTGTTAAAACTTTTTATACCTTTTTATTCATTTTTATTCATTTTGAAAAACCACAGACATGTAATATTGGCATAATTATTGTAATTTGTAACATCTAATTTGTTTATCTTGATTAGACAACACCCTAATATGGGTTTTTATTATTTCAGCATTTATTTAACTTTGTATCGAGACCTGAAGATGCTTTGCATATTGTAGAAAGCGAAACCGGTCGTCTGAATAGTTAAATTAAATTGATTGTGAGTAAGTCTTATTTATTATTTCTTTACCTATTTAAAATGGACTCACACAAGCAACACATTTATGATTTTAAAATGATTTATGACATAACCGAGGTGTTTACCTCGCTGGCAAAGAATAAACCAGTTTAAAGTAATGTACACACCACATGTTTTTAACTATATTGAGGCTAAATAAATAAATTTTTAATTGTCACTATTTTTATTATTAACTGTTTATTAATAATGTGTATTGAGAACATTGTATATTTTAAAAACTGGCTTTAAGAAAAAATAAATAAAAATAATCCCATTATAAATTCTGAGCAAAAACAATAAAGAACTCTGAACTTTGATAATGTTCCAAAAAAGTACATGCACATGTATAAGATTTAATTTGCCTTATACAACTATTTGTTAAATTGTTTTAATATATTCTACATGGTGAATTATGATGCATCACCGACATGTTTGTTTTGATAATTTTTAACTTGCCAATATTGATATTTCCTTTTTAGAAACTTCCTATACTAACAGTAGATTCTAAGGATCCTTAAGCTATCGGAACAAATGAGCGGAATCTAATTTAACCTACGTAATATTTTTTCACCCATTTTTCACTAATTTATTATCACGCTAATTATTTTTCACCATCAAACCACTAGACACCAAAGTAGATAAAAATTGTGCAAGCCGTTTTAAGAGCGTAGGCGCAAAATTTCGGCCAATGCTTTTTAAATGCATTCATTTTTTTTTAATTTTTGAAAAATTTAAACGAAGAATGAAAGATTACATTGTTGTCGAGGGCCAAAAGTCCCTGAAAACTTCTATAATGTTTATTTTAGTAAGTTACAGGGATGAAAAAGAAGAGAAAATTAACTGTGATTTTTAATTTAAAATATCTCATTCAAAAGATACTTTTTGGTTATTCTAAGGGACTTTCGGCCCTCGGCAATAATATAATTTGTCATTCGTCTGCATTCAAATTTTTTTAAAATATTTATTAGTTTTCTCAGGATTCGAAAAAAATAAATGCATTTAAAAAGTATTTGCCCGAAATTTTGCGCGAATACACTCTTGGTGTTCCATAATTTAAAACTCACTCTGCAGATTGAGAATAAAGAGAAAAACAAAAGCATTATTTTAAAAGTATAAAAAGGCTTTCTTTTCAGTTTTTTAAAAAGTTCTGCAGCTGCTTTTGAACTACTAAAGACCAAAGAAATGTGTCCTCAAATTTTAAAATCAATGATTTTGGAATAAAAAAGTGGTTATTTTCTGTAGAATTTGATAAAGATATTTTTAGTGCAAATGATACAGTACCAAAAAATCTACTAAAAATGTTCAAATTTATAATCTCAAATGTTTGATCGCTTCAAAATTTTACAAGAATTAAGAATTTTATTAAAGTTCCAGTGAGCGAAGCTGGTGATGAATGCTCATTTTTAGAATTAAAGTTAAGTAAATATATTTAAGACACAGACGAGACTTGATAGTCTAGCATTAATATCAATAAAAAATTATATCTGTGGCTATTTGCCAAAAGTTGATATGTCAAAAATTACTGTTTTCAGCTTTGCAAATCATGATAGGTGTTAAAAGTTATATTTTTATATGCCAAAACTTGATATGTCTAAGGAAAATATTATTAAAGATTATAAATTAACGACTCAACATGATATATTAAATTACTTCATTTTAATTTTTGCCAAAAGTTGATAAGATCAGATTTAAAATGCGGACGGATGTTTTATGGACATATCAAGTTTTGGTTGCCAGCTAACTAGATTCTAACTCTATGCAGCTAACAGATAATATAACCTAACTTTATTGTTCTGCATTTTACTAAAATAAAAAGTTTCTTTGGTTCTTTTAAGAAAACTATTGGTAAAAAGTATGTCGCGTGGAAAGCTGTTAGTTAATATGGTTATTATTTTTAGTAGTAAACTTTTAGTAAATATCGAAGAAACAATATTACATACTGAAAGTGAGGATTTTAAAAAACCACTGGGAAGCGATATACGAGAATTAAATGGTGTTTAGTTAATGTCGAAATTAAAGAAATAAGTTCAGCTTCTGGAGCAACTGGTCATTTTGAAGAATTAGTGTCATATTTGGATTGTGATAATTCAGATGTAGATGAAAATTAAATTCCTTTGGATACTTCATCTGACACACGTGACAATGAGAGGCCAGGCCAATATTAAATAATTCCATCTAAAAAGTGTAAAATAACAGCTACTACCAGTAGTAATATGTGTGACAAAGGAAGTAATAATAATTTTACAAATAAAAGTGATGATAGCAAAGACCAAATAAATAAATATTGTACGTACCACAATCCAAAAGTAATTTTACAGCAGGACGAAACTTCCCACATAAATTACTATTTCACAATAGAATTTCCAAAATTAATGTAAAATATCAGTTTAAGCAGCATTTTGTTTATTTATTAAGGAAATTTCATATAAATCATATTTCATGTATGAACAAGCAAAATAAAATTGGCAAAAAAATTAATAAAATCAAATTAAAAAAAAATCCGAAGGGCGCCTATATCAGTTTTCCAGTTATGTTCCTCATATCCTATCACCAGAATTGTTGATCCACATATTTACAAAATATTTGAATAAAAGAGAATGAATTACCTAGTATATTTAAACAATAAGCTACAGTAATGAGTTTTTGCGTAATTCAATTTAAACAAATCGTCAGAATATCACAGAACAATTATTTTTTTCCAAAGAGAAAAAAGAACCCGTTTATCAACCTAATTGGAACCTACTGTAACCTCAAAATAAGGAAATACAATTTGAATTGAGCTAATTTGGTCCACATATTTATAAATTTTTAGTGAAAGAGAAAGAGAATAAAAGTTTTAAAAAACTCAATTAATAAATTTATTATCTCGATTTATTAAAATGCAGAAGTTTAAAATTATTAGTTTCCAATAATAATTGTTCATATAATATTTTCCCAAAGATCCAAATCACTAAAAAACACGACCTAAATTCCTTTGCAAAATCGATACTCACATCGCACAAAATATATATTCCACACTAATGCAAATCACTATAAACAGTCTATAATTAAAAAAGAACGTCCTCACGGTCCACTAGTCACTCTTACCTGTGCAGTACCGATGAATCACAAACAAAAAAATCCCATCCAGCCACAAATCTAACACTATGAACTAACTGCATCTTCTGGAGCCATCTTCTTTATATACAGAACGGAAGAATGGAGGTGATATACTGTCCCCCAAATGAATGTTGATGAGCATTTAGTGGTTCTTCCTTTTGCGGAATTTGACTGGGCTAGCGCTTCCGGAGAGAGAGGTGAGAGATGATTTTGATGAAGTTTTGCGAGGGAATAATTTGTCATCCCTTACAATTTTTTTTGCTGAATTATATATTTAACTCTTCTCAAACAAAGTAAGAAAAATAATTGTTTTCATAAATGTTTATAAAAATTTTTATTGATGTGTATTTTACAAATATTTATCTTTTACTGTTTGTTTATATGCAGCTAATTGCATTATTGATTTTTATGCATGAATAATTTGAATACCACGGCGTTACTGGGTTTATTGGTTTCAAATGCCAATCTTAGCTTAAAGTTTATAAACTTTGAAGACTAATATATAGAGTAACTTATTTTGCGATATATGCACAAAAGTTTTATATAAATAAACAAGGCATAAAGACATTGGTAGAAAATAAAAATAAAAACTTTTACAAATTATTTTACTTAAATCAAATTATTAACAATGTCATTTCGCACATTTATTTTAGTTCCATTCTTGCTTGTTTTACTTTTTGAAACGATTTATATCTGATATACTCGTAATACCTCTTACCCCTGGCTCTTGTACTTGTTTTTTGTTCACGCCTGGTTGCTTATATTTTTATCTAATTTTTTGGATATTGCATGGTTTTTTTTGTTCTGGTAGTGGTTATTTAATTAAATATTTCATTTTTGCTACTATGACTGTAATTACACCTTTAGATATTTTGTGCTTATTTTTCGTCTAATTGCTTTCTCACAAGTTTGTATTGGTCATAATATTAGCTGTGGTAATTACATTTCTGGTCGGTCAGATAGCCAAGCGGGCTGAGCGGCCGGTTTCTCATTCGCTTCACTGCGAGTGGTTCAGAGGAAGTGAGTTCGATTTCCACCTCGGTGTACAGAAAAACAAAAAGGCTAACACAGCAGTTTAAAATTCTAAATGAATCTGCGGCTTAAACTAGAATATGCTGGTGTCTGATCAGCCTATGGTGGAGCAGTACGGCAAGAGATAAGGGCTTGCGTCTCGGTAATACTCCTCCATAACTCCCTACCGGAAGGGCATGTGCCGCCTAAATACCGGGGTATATATACACTCAGGTGCAAAAAAATCGATCCAAATTAGGTTCAATGAAAGGAGCAAAAGGTACCACATGCTGATCTAAAATACTTGTTATGTATCTTGCAGCAGTCATAGAACCTCTATCTACAATAACTAAATCAGTATGAGCTTCTGAACTGATACCAGCCCAAACCATAACGGAGCCCCCCCGATAACTTATCCTTTCTGCAATATTACATTGAAAATATCGCTCTCTGTGTCTTCTCCAAACCTTTTCTCGGCCGTCTGGTGACTTTAGACAAAATCTGGACTTATCTGAGAACAATACCTTGCTCCAATCTGCATCACTCCAGTTTTCATGTTCTCTTGCAAAAGCAAGGCGAGCTCTGCGATGTTCTATGGATAGTATTGGAGATAGGGCTGGCCTTCTGGATAATAAATTACTTTCTACAGGTCGTCGACGAACTGTCCATCTGCTTACATCCACATTTCTCACGTCGCTCAGACGATTTGCCAGTTCAACTGAAGTTAGATGCCGATTTCTCAAACATGATGAGACCAGAAATCATCATTTCTTTCGGATGTTACCCTTCTACGACGTGATCCTGGTCTTCTTGTGAAGTTACCGGTGTCGTTAAAACGCCGAACTGCTCTTTGAACCGAAGATCGACTAACACCCAACATTTCAGCTGCATAATATTGGCTACGACCATCTTGAACTAAAGTCACCGCCCTTGCGGCATCTGTCGGAGTTAGAGACATTTAGGAAGGATAATTAAATAAAAATATAACACGTTTTGAAAATAAAATCACTACACTAGTATGGATTATGAATTAAAAACAACATTCAATAAATATCTACTTGCTTTAGACCCTTTTTGACAAAACCTGAAATACCAATTTGTTTTAAGAAAATATAAAAAAGCATCTCGTATACGAGGGTACACCTAAATTTACATCCGTAATTTAATGTCTCTAAAATTATACAACTTCAAATAAATAAAAAATAAGGAATGGATCGATTTTTTTGCACCTGAGTGTATAATTACATTTCTGATTATTACTTATTATCTTTTAGTTTATTTATAAAATAGTTTGGACCAATATTATAGGATGGGAATATTATTATTCTACAGGGTGAGTCAAAACTATTGTGGTATACACTTCGTGTAATTAAAAAGAAGCCACAGAAGAAAATGTTTGGCATTTTGAATTGAATTGAGTTACATTCCTCATTCGACTTGGCATTGAATTGATCAAATTCTTGATGTTGTCTTGAGGAAAAGCTTCCCATTCTTCCATGAGCACCAATCGAAGCAGCTCACGATTTATTGGAGCAGGTATTCTGTTTTTTACTCTTCGTTTGCGTTAGTCTTAAACATGCTCAATCGGGTTCAAAACTAGGCTTTCAGTCAGCCAAATTATTTTTAGCACACTGACGCCATTTTGATTCGATCGTCTGAGCCATAAAGAACCATCCTGGGCTCACCAATAAACAAAACATTTTTCCAATCTTCTATGATCCAATTCTCATTCGTCTCTAGTATATTCAAGTCGGCGTTGTCGATGTGCTGCTGTTACAAAGGTTCTGTTGCAGGGCAGCTAGCTCTTAAACTAAATTCCTTTAACCTTTTTCTCACTGTAGAAGCTCTTATTGTCCACCCGTGAGTATGCTGAAAACTGTTTTGTATTGCTCTAGCCATAAACAACCGATTTTGCAAAGAAGTGCGTTATAAAGGTTGGTCTTCTCTGGCCGTCGTGATTCTTTTCGCGCCTGATCCTGGTCGTCGTTCGTGAGATCAGCCTCTACGAATCGTTGATGTGTTTTTTTGGACAATACAACGACTTACTCAGTTGTCTGACCACTTCTCTTTGACTTATTCCATTATCGTCATCGTCGTTATGTAATCGTCAAGTATTAAAAACATTCTCTGCAGGCCGCGGCATATTAGGTCTATCCACGTGGACAGCCGACTCTCTAGGATCAGCCTGATTATATTCCAAAATATTTGCAGGTACTATTCTTGAGATGATACTTGCTTTCGCTCTAGAGAGAAGAATAAGCATACTAACATAGGATAGTTCGTAGCGCTATAAGTCGACATACACTCCTAATCGACATTACCTCCTATGTCGACACCAGTCACAACAACAGGACCCTCATCAAGACATTCTGCAATAAAAATAATAAAAAACATTAAAAAACGACCTAGGCCAACAAAAAAACTTAAAAAACATAAAAATCCGGCGAATGCAACCAAAAAAATTAGAAAAACAAAAACAAAAAACTTGGACAAGTAGGGCCCAAACACTTGAGCAACAAGTCTCCGGACCAGACGACGTAGACTAGACTAGACGTAGACTTGGGGTCCAAGTAAGCAATTTTAGATTCGTGGATATGTCACTAGAGGATATCAGGAATAAAGCGCGTCACGATGTACTGAATTTGAATCCGTTAGGGAACCATGTCTTCTTCTTCTTGATGTGCCTATCAGTTACGAATGTTGGCGATCATCATGGCAATCTTTATCTTATCTGCAGCATCGCGAAAAAGCTGTACATATGTTGTATTAAACCAGATTCTGAGGTTTTTTAACCAAGATGTTCTTCTTTTTTCTGGACCTCGCTTTCCAAATATTTTTCCTAGCAGGATGGCTTGAAGGAGAGCATATCTGGATTCATTTCGCATAATATGCCCAAAGAACTGTAATTTTCGAGATTTGATGGTGGCCAGTACCTCTCTGTTCTTATTCATTTTTCTGAGAACCTCCCCATTTATAAATCGGCCAGTCCACGGGATCTTAAGTATTATCCGATATAGCCATATCTCAAATGCTTTCAGTTTTTTGCACATATCTTCGTACAAGGTTCACGATTCAACACCATAAAAAAGGACAAAGAAGACGTAACATCACAGCATTCTCACTTTTGTATTAAGAGAGAGGTTGTGACTCTTGAAGAAGGCACCCATCCGATTGAAGATGGATCTAGCTTTTCCGATGCGTGCTCTAATCTCCTGGTTGTTGGTCCATTCTTCATTTATTATGGTGCCGAGGTAGTTGTAGTGCGTCAATCTTTCTACAGGGGAATGATTAATGTAGAGTTCACCTTCTGCTATTCTTTTCTTGCTAATAGGGAACTTGCACATTTCTTTTATTATATAATAACGTTCAGTTTCATTTAAAAATAAGATTTCCAAAATTTCACGCCTCAAAAACTCATAATGACTTAGCAATACAAATTTAAAATCTTCCGTGTATAAAAATCATTTCAAACGATCGAAAAAGCGCGCGAACCCTTGTGACGTCACTTGGTGGTATTGTCTGTATGTCAGGTCTCCTCTCTTGTATAAAAGTATAAACTATTTTGTTTATATTGATACAGTTTTTGAATAGAGAGTGTTGAATTGTGTGTGTTTTTACTATGGAAAGTAAAAGTAAATACTACAAGTGTTGTTTAGTACCATTGTGTAAAAATACAACCATTAAAACCCCCAACAAAATATTTATTAGATTACCAGTACAGTACAGATCATGTTATTTCTTTTTTACTTGAACCCATCCTACAGCTGCATCTCCATATGATTCTCTGCCAGATCTAAATGCAAACGATGAATAAGTTAATTTGATTAAATTTCAGTACAATAGCATATCTAAACATATAATATTGACACTACTTAATATAAAGTACTAAGTTTTATCATTAAATACTTATTATGAGAATAATAATCACAATAAAATTAATGTAATAGGAGTATATGTACTTACTTATCTGCTTTAACTCCCCGAACTTCTCCCTAGGGAAAAATTTTCATCACCGTTTTGAC